AGTGGTGGTAGTTTATAGTAGTTCTTGTTGCCGTCGTCGTCGTCGTTGTCGTCGTGGTCGTCGTGGTCGTCGTGGTCGTGGTGGTGGTCGTGGTGGTGGTCGTGGTCGTGGTGGTCGTGGTCGTGGTGGTCGTGGTCGTGGTGGTCGTGGTGGTCGTGGTGGTCGTGGTGGTCGTGGTGGTCGTGGTGGTCGTGGTGGTCGTGGTGGTCGTGGTGGTCGTGGTGGTCGTGGTGGTCGTGGTGGTCGTGGTCGTCGTGGTCGTCGTGGTCGTGGTGGTCGTCGTGGTGGTGGTCGTCGTCGTCGTCGTCGCCGTTGCCGTCGCCGTCGTCGTCGTCGTGGTTGTTGTTGTTGTTGTTGCTGTTGTTGTTCATCTTCTGGTTGCTCTGTTGATGTTCATCTTCTTGTTATTGTTGCTGTTCATCTTCTTGTTGTTGTTTTTGTTGTTGTTCTGGTCGTGTTGTTGTTCATCTTGTTGTTGTTGTTCTTGTTCTTGTTGCTGTTGTTGTTCATCTTCTGGTTGCTCTGTTGATGTTCATCTTCTTGTTATTGTTGCTGTTCATCTTCTTGTTGTTGTTTTTGTTGTTGTTCTGGTCGTGTTGTTGTTCATCTTGTTGTTCTTGTTCTTGTTCTTGTTCTTGTTCTTGTTGTTGTTGTTGCTGCTGCTGCTGTTGTTGTTGTTGTTGTTGTTGTTCTTGTTGTTGTTGTTGTTGTTGTTGTTGTTGTTGTTGTTGTTGTTGATATGTTTGAAAGGGCCTTGTCGCATAGTTCCTAACAGTCCATCTCTCGGGCCCCCCCCCTCGGCTGACCCCTCGCTTTAATTGAAAGAATCAATTAGTTCATTGAACCTTTCAATTTTAAGCCTCGCCATATTTCATAAACAACAACTTTCGCTGAGCTCCTTCTGAGCTCACTTTCGTGATATAGTCTATATATAGTTTCTCATAAGAATAGCATTCACATTATGACTTCTAGCTGCTAGCCGCTAGGAGGCCGGGGCTCTGGCCTTTTGCTTCACCCCCAAATGACACGTGGCGGCCATAACGCGGTCGTTGGTCCCCGCCCAATAAATCCGCTGATCCGTTGTGCAAAAGAATCACTAAAAAATAAGGGTAAAAACACGGCGCATCGTCGACACACACACAAATATCAGACACATATCGACACATCGTCCTTCTTCTTCAGCAGCAGCTTTTGCCTCAACATCTCCACCTTCATCTTGGCCGAGGCTTCCGCCTCACACGAAGTGGTCGCCGCTCTGACGGGACGAACCCCGCTGGCCGGCCGCTTCAAAGTAAAATTAAAAGAAGGAGTGGACTTCTCATATGAAGGCTCAACCGAGGGTGTGTGGAGAAGGGGGGTCAGCCAAAATCGCTTTTACGAAGTTAGTACATCAAAAATACCTTCTACGAAGTTCTACGAAGGTTTCTGCCTGCGCCTTCCACGATTTTAGTAGAATAGGTTTTTACAAAACTCTTTCTGTGCACTACCCTTCCGTTTGCCTCTGATCATATGAAGGTCTTTATTTTTCAGAGTGAGTCATAGTGATAGATGGACCCATGGGGCTTCGATTTCGCCACGCGGTCGGGCTTGGTCTTCTTCGAGCCTCTTGCTGTGTCCGCGTGGGCACTTCGGCAGTGGCCTAAAAGACACTGGCGATGTGGTGTCGGACCATGAGAGGATTCTCAGAGGTTTGCATGAATTCACAATCATATATTATATATAATATAATATATTACACATATATATATTAATTTAGTAATATATAATATATTAACAACTCCCCAAATCAATATCTGAAACTAGAAAGTTGAAAAAGCGGCTGCTCCGGTTGGGTTATTTCGCGGGCTTACGGGTTGGTCGGGAACATACGGGTCTCTTTGACGTTAAGGGTTGCTGGAGGTAGCTAGCCTAGAACCATAGCAAAAACCGCTGCTTCAGTGAAAAACACAACATGCATCACACTGCTTTGCCCTGTGCTGTGGGTCCACAAGTCTGCCGTCCTCACCCTCACTCATTTTTTCTTCCAAAAAGTGCTCCTGTTACAAACCTGCAGCAGATTTCATGTTACATGCGTGTGTCTGTGTGGGCTGGAGGCCACATGGCACGAAGTCCGAAGGGTTCTCCCCTGAGCCGACTAGTTGCTAAATGAAAGCGGACTTGAAGAGTACTCTTTCCTGAAAATGGTACTGTTGAGCCAGCAAGAAATTTACTGTGGAATAAGCAAGCAAATGAAGTAGTCAGTCTTTCCCCAACCGCTTATCTAGTGGAAGCCCTTCATAGGTCAATTGGGTGTGTAATGGTGTGTGTTAAGATAGGGACCTCTGAGGGGTTCCGAGTTCGGTTCGGAAAATGCGTCTACCCAGCCAGTGGCGAGGGGGGGGTTATCATTCTTCAAACACCCAGCCGCAGATTCCTCTGGATGTCAAAGCACCAGCATTTGGGGCTTGGGGTTTTGACCCGCCGTTTGAGTTGAAGGCTCCATCGTGCTTCGTCCCGGCCTGACTGGCCAAGGCCGCTGGCATGCTGATCTCATGAGCGATCGACGCGGAGCGGTATTTTCCGCCCGCGCCGTTGTGGAGACCGTAGTGGAAAGGGGAAGAACCAATAGAACCAGAAGTCAATGTGCTGGTTCACGTCTGCGGGTTGTATTGACTTGAGAGTGGTCTTGGGCTGCACTTCAAAACAAGCACACATGGTTGTCAGGGGTGGTCTGCTGGCAAGGTTTGGGACTCTCCCAACAGGTTTGGGTGCGCAATGCGCAAACTCTTTTGTAGCTTCCTGACAGCATCAGAGTTGGTTCAACACAAAAATATGTGAGACGTGGATCACGCTCACTGTCTTTGGAATGTCTTGACACTGCAAAAAGGCACTTCCCGACACCATTTTCTCACCTGAAACTTCTAGAAGCTACAGTGTTCCATCGATCATCTTAGAAAGGTTTCTGCCTGGGACGTCAACCCCTTTTTGGGCTACTTGCACTTAAGCTGATCCTACGTTTCTGCCTGCCGCGGCGTGGGCGTGCGCGTGGGCAGAGGCGGATTGATCGGCCAACCACTCCACTCCATCTCCGTTCCACCAGCTCCACCATCTCCCTGGACCCCGTTCTCATCCGGTTTCTCCGTTTTGAGGTTGCTAAGCTGAAGGAGTCAACTGAACCCCCAAAAAGAAGGCTCTGAACCAACAAATGGCCAGTGGGCGTCCTATTCGAAGTGTGGAGGTGTGCATGTTCCAGGCTCGAAGTGGGGGATTCGCGCATTGCTCGGGACTCTATGATTCCAAATCATGATGTACTGTAGATTTCTAGGCACCGTGAAACCATTCCAGATCTTACCGAAACATTCCTGCTGTGGGCATATACTGTCCTGACTACTGTCCTGCAAACGTCCCACAGCTTGCTGAAATCAATCCAATGTCTGACGTTTTTCTGGTTTGCAGCTGACCAATAAAGTGGTTTTCAACAAGGTGACACCTCGAAATTGTCCTGAACCTTCGACCCGGTGGTTCCATCCATGATACCCCTTCAAAGGAACCAAAGGAACCATCTCGTTGCCTTCCCATCTGCTCCCAGTGTTAACCAATTACCAAACGAAAAAGGCCCGGCAGGTATTATCACCTTGACTTGGATGTCAGTCCTATGGCCACCACCGACGGATCTTCACAAAATCCATCAAAATCCACACCGATCATCTACTGTTTTGGGGCGAAAGAGGTGCGTACGACACATGAAAAGACTCCAATTAATGTGCAAGCGACAAAAGCTACCCCCGGCTACAAACCTGGAACAACCTGGATTTCGATGGCTCTACCCAAACTCAAGGGGCAAGACCAGATCGACTGAAGTAAGTATCTCTGGGTGCAACGATGGGGCATCCCGGAAGACGACGCAAACATGAAACCAAGCAGTGGTAGGAATGACCAGGTCTCTGACATCCCAATTTAAACATATTCAATATGGCATGATATGTCACGCACCCGAATAAAAACGACATCAAGGTGTAGAGGATTTCCCTGAGGATGGAGGGGTACCCACCGTTGACTACCGTTGGTTCCGACCGCCCCAAACGGCACGTCCGGTCACGAGACATCTGAGACGGCCCAGGTCACGAGACATCTGAGATGAACATGTTTTCAGTGCTCAGCTCCCATCATGACCCAAAAAAGACGAAAGAACCTGAAAACACACCCCACACAAACACACACATATATATATATATATAAACTCATAAGATCTCATAAGATCTCATAGGTGTCGGACATGTCCCAAAAACTCACACTTCCAGGTTTTGGCAACCGGCCATCAATGAATCCTCTTCAGAAGTTGGGCACCTTGACTGAGATATACCCAACTAGCACTGAGGCTTCTTCCCCATGGTTCTCATGGTTCATCCCGCGCACAAAAGCACCCCCCGCGTGCTCCACTCATTTCACCGGGGGTGAGTGGCTGGAGCGGAAGGGAGCACCTCCTTGATTCTTCGCTACTCTAAACCAAAACATGCAGCGGACCAAGAGGGATTTCATCTGGGAAGTCCTCTTTGCAGCGACCCATTTTGGGAAAAGAACACAGAAAAACACCATGGAAAAACTGTTCTTGGTGGCCAATCCCACCCGGTGGTCCAGGCGTTGGAAATCCCAAGAGCCCAAAGAATCCAATGGGCCGCTGTGCAAAATAGATGGACTAAATAGGGCGCTCTGTTGAAAGGAATCAGTTCAATACATAAACCTCATTGTGTGTTCTTCTACACCAGTAAACATCCTTCCATGTCTCTTACTCAAAACCACATCCCAAAGCGCAACGATTGCAGCCATCGTAGTATCAAACCACCAAATTCTGTTGGACTTTCCCCTGCCTCTTCACCCCATCCTTCTCCAGTCAGTTGCCCACAACACCGACCCACAGGTTTGGTGGAAGACCATGGACACTTTCTCATCTTGCCCAAATCAATTTACTAAACATTCACCTACATCAGCTTCAAAAGGTGTACTCAGTGTACTCATTGGGTGGTTGCTTGGTATGAACCCCATGTGTTGGCTCGGTCCCACACCGGATCCACCTCCCGGAGCCGCCCTCCGAACCGAGCCCCTCGAGCCCTGATCCCGGCCCGGCTCTTTTCGCAGCAGAACCGAGCCCTGTCACGATTTCAGCTCGAAAACCTGCACATGCCTCAATGACGGTGGCAGGTGGGTCTGATACGCGGTGGGGAATCTGAAACCTCTCAAAAGGGTCTTTCTGTGAAAGGCACGGTTCCGTCTACAGTATGGTTTTACGTTCTCTTTGAAAGGCAATTCTTTCCTGAAACATCATTCGTAGCATTTTTTGTGGCGAACATGTGGTTTGTTGGACCAAGTTAGGAATATTTGAGATGGTGGCATGTCCTTCGTTCGATTTGGGATTCTCAATTTTTTTGAATGCACAGGCCAAGAATGAAGGTTCTGATCCATCAAACCTCAAGAGTTTCCACTTGTAGGTGTGGTTTGAACATGTGAGGGGATTGTCGGAGGTTGGTACCCCCAAATCTTATGAACCTATGAATGTTTTTTTCACTGTTTGTGGCCTGTAGAATTGTAGGGTTTCTTGTTTTTCACATTTTCTGTATCGAAGAAAGGTGCAGGAAATCTCTCTGTTTACTGAAACATGAAGTCAAAACTAAAAAATACTAGAGCGGTGACACCCAAGCCTTTCCTGAGAGGTGATGTTTTTTAATGCAGTTTTTGTCGATCTTCCCAAATCGCCGCGCGTCCTCTTAGTTCCTATATGCCACTATGCAATGCAGGTCGTGGACATTCTTGGACTGTACATGTACACTGATTTGTGCGTGTGATCCTTGAAGCAAGGTGCGCACGCTAATCTTTAACACCCCCTCTTATACTCTCTGACATTGCAGAGATGTTCTACCCTAAATCTGCGTCTCAAACATTTGTGAGACCGCCTCATTCTCCACTCAACTAGGTGACATGTTCATGATCACCTTCATTGCTGCGCTGGCCACCTCTCGTGTCACAAATGCGGATTGCACTTGACTCAGCCGGTGGATTCCAAGGTTCAGCGCCATCTCCATCTGACTCAACCACAACATGCTCATCTAGCCACTAGCGCTGCTGATAATTTATTACGCTGCTGCCTCAACTGGTCTTGTCTCTTCTTCCTCTTCAACCATCACTTCCTCATACTGCCCTCAACTTCGCTCATTTCCCCAGATTCGCTTCTGTTATCCGGCTCGAAAGATTCTGAAGCTCGGTCACTCTGTTCCCACTTTATGAAAGTGATTGAACTTGCCATGAAGGCTTGAGGGTCCGGTTTTTGACACAGAAGCAAGAGGATGATATCCTTTGATATCCGCAGTGGAAGTTCGCAAAGATGGTTGCTGATTAACCAAATTGCTGTCACAGCCAAACTCCATGCTCCTCTATTCATGGAACTTTCTTCTATTTTCAAGGGACCGCTTCTAGGCCCCATTTCTGCGTAAGTTGGAACCCGGCAAGAACGATTGACTCATTCATGCTTGTCGAAGCTGATGCCCGTGCAAAAGAGCCCAAGATTCAAGATTGCATTCTTACAAGGTCGTCGTTGTGTACTCAACTGTTTCCAAGTGACTGCACTGCTCTCTCACAGTGCGTTGAACCGCACCACAGTGCCAGCCCTGCCTGGAAGATACGCTGCGAGTTTCTTGGGTGGGTCCATTCGTCTGACGCCAACACTCTCACTGCATACCGAATGTCAATGTCACCTCTTCTCGCGCAAGAAAACAAGTGCAGATCGAAAAACTACATCTTCTGCGCTCAACCGGTCGCCTTCTTCAACTTCCTGGCCTCTGCTTGGTATACGCATCCAACGTAAGGGAATTTGGCATGGGGATGTATCTCGAAGAAGTGCAAATCTCTAGACCATCGCGATTACATAAATCCCAGCCGCCTCTAGAAATTATAGACCACTCCTGGGATACCCATGCTCTGCGGGCCTTGAGTCGTAAGAAGTTGCTGAAACGAGCTAAGAACTTGCTGCATGCTTCCACTGGAGCAACAAGCATAACAAGCAACATGATCCAGATTAACCTGTGCTTCTAGGGGCGCAAGCAAACAGACACGGCCAAATACAAGCACAATCGTCTCACGCCAGGCATGTCATCATTTTCTGTAAGTGGGCCTGATTCTTGCATAATCTTGAATACTTCAATCACAGCTGCCCAAATGTTGTGGCAAAGAAGCGACCTGTCTTGAGGAATCCCATGAAAGCTGTGCTTTCATAGAAGTCTGCAAGCGATCTTTCCACCCCTGAACATAGTTGGCAGCCTTGGCATCCTTGAATGTGGCCTCCACTACCTCCTTTGTCTCAGCTCCTTACTAGAGAGCACACTGCTGCTTGAGTGCACTTAAGTTCATCACGTGAGCCAAGGTCCTTTAAACAAACATCAATTTTTCTGTGAGATCGACGCCCCCACCTGTGAACTGCAGAAGCACTTGCGCGTGCACTCTGAGCAGCTTGACTGTGTTCCCCCTTTGCCACTGCGTTTGAAGCCTTGAACCTCAGCTGCTTTGTCCTCAAAGTACATCGACTGATATAGGTTGGATCTGGCCCATACGAGTGGCGGTGAAAACGCAATTTCGATTTCCGAAGTACAGACGCTCGTCGATTTCCCACTCTTTTGATGCCACAAGGAAAACAACGCCAGCTGCGCCGACCATCGAAGAAAGCCTTTCCAGGCGCCAATGGCCCGATTTGGACGAGTCTTACAGCGCATTACTGTTTGCTAATGAAGCAAGATCCTGAAGACTTGCAAAACGCATGGAGAATCTTGGCCAAAGTTTGGCATTCTCGGCCAGAAGTTGCCAGGTCGATCAGCAGGCCCTCAACTTTGTTCAATGGTGTCCGCTGCCTGGCTTCACCTTCGACTATGGATGGTGGCTCATCGGCATTGTCAAAGATGTGCCAGAAGTCTGCTGCTGTTTTCTTTCAGTTGGCGTTGAATGCTGTGACGGTCATGAGGGGCTCCACCTTCAATCTGCTTCATGGCATCCTCCCCGTCCTTTTCGACGCGGTCATTGCCCATGTCCAATTGTTGGACACCTTTTTCGACAGTAGCAGGTCCGAGGGCGCGCAACCACCATATAGTCCTGAAGCCATGGCCATCAATGGCTTGGACCCAATATATCCCAATACCCTCCAGCTGTGGACGCCATCCCTCCAGGAGGTTTAAGGACTTGAGCTTGCACCATTGGGAATTTCCACTCATCAAACCTCTTGTGCCAAGTCTTGGTTCTGACCATTGCCTTCACTCCATCATTGAAACCTCTCGACGCTCCAACGGTTCTGAGCTTGAGCCAGCTCGGCAGCTAATGCTACCTGCAAACTGCAAGCCAAATGCTCACCATGAAAACATACACTTTACGTGGCGGGCAAGAGCCCCCACCATGCCTGCAACAACTTGGTGATGTTGACCTCTGATTAATAGACAGGGGCTTGCATTGAAATATTGGCTTACCCTAAATCAAGCGCATTCCAGATTCCAAGACAAAATTTAGTAGAGAAATCAAATGACCCCTTTTTTAAACATGAATATTCAAATCAAAGGGAAGAAAAAGTTTATCCGAGAAATAAACTGACGCTTTATCAAAATGAGTGTTAAAATGCAAGTGCATTAGTGCTTAAATGACAATTGATGGAATTATATTAAATAGAGCTGAATTGAAGTTGATGTTGAATTGATTTTGGAAATTAGACTTGAATTGGAAACGATTTAGAATTGAATGAGAATTTAAATTGCATTGAATTAGAAGTGAACAAAACTCTTTAGCTATATTTAGGGTAAGCTTTATTTAGGGTTTGGTGGCTTCAGGAAACGTCATTAGCTTTATTTAGAGTTTGGTGGCTTCATAGAGGGAACTCTTTCCAGAGTAGTTTTGATCAATTTCCAATCGTTTTAAAATAAGGGTTCTATAATGAATGGTTGTCAGAAGGTTTTGTGGTTTGGTGATCCCAAGTGATGAAATTGATTCAGGGGAATGGACTGAATAAGGAATCCAAGCAGGATCCAAATAGGAAAGAAATGAAATGCACCAACACTAGCTACAGATAATGGATTTTTGCAGCCATGGAAATGGAAAATCCTTAGCTTTATTGAGGGAGAAGTCTATTTAGGTGGCTTCATGGAGAGAACTGTTTCCAGAATGATTTTGATCCATTTTCCACGGTCTTTAGCTAAGGGGTCTACAGTTAAGTCTACAGAGAATTGTTGTCAGAAGCTTTTGAGGTATGACAAAAAATTTGTGAGGTGAAGAGGAAAGAATTTAGTTAAGAAGGAACCCAAAGAAGCAACATGTTAACAAAGGAATGGAAAGAGTAATTGAACACCGAATCAAAAATGTGTTCTTTGCTGTGAGCAAAACTCTTTAACTCATTTTCGGATAAACTCTATTTAGGGTAAACTCTATTTATGGTTCCTACTTTCTTGCTTTCAGAAATATGTCTTAATTTGTTGTTGAAACAAATTTTCTAAAAAACTATTATTGATACGTTATTTGTTTTCGTTTTTTTTTAAACATTGTTTTTGTGCGAAATGTTACGTCAACTTTATTTTAGGTGGGTTTACTCATCAGGCCAGAATTGGCTAACTGGATTTCGGGTTGTTTTTTAAATCATCAGCCAACATTGTTGTTCCAAGGGTGTAGGTGGAGGCAAAGGTTTACTTGAGGCGCAATGTACGAGAACTTTGTTCTAGATTTAAGCTGCGTAGAGGGGTCTCAGTGTCACCCCCACAGCTGTGGCGTAGGAACTTTGAGCGGTCCGCCCGAGCTCCTGTTCTTGAACAAACCATACAGCGGAATCGCACTTTCTTGTTGGTTGTTCCAATTCCTTAGAGGATCCTGAGGTCCACGTGGCATGTCTGCCACAGAGTCGGCTGCCGAAGTGTTCTTCGCAAAATGACGCACCACGCCGAAGCGTGAGGCCCGTAGCCATGGCAAAAGCAAGACACACAACATCACACAACTCAGGACTCCAAGGGAAGCGTCATCCTTGGGCCACTTCCGTTTTCTCAAAAGCCAGCATAGAGCATTCCATGCGAACTCTAGAGCGCCACTGAGAATGGCGACACATGGAATTGAAGGAGCGCAACTGAGATCCCAAACTTTCAACATCCAAGAAGGCCGGCAGGAAGTGCACTTGAA